GTTTTAACTGTACTATTTACAGAACCATCTTTTCATTCGAATAGTTGTAACTCTTATCAGAACATCTGTGAGGGGAGAAGCTTTAAATTTTATGGAGACGGACAGCGACAGAAGGACATGCAGTGAATAGGACCCATCCTGCGTAGAGGGGCCCTGCAGAGACCCAGGGAGGTAGAGAGAGACACAGAGCAGCTCAGTGTATAAAAGGCACTAATAAGGACACAGTGGGAGAGCCGCTTTGGTGTTAAAACGGCGGCTATGCACAGAAGGTCGTGAGCTGGGTCTGAAACGCCCTGTCACTGACACGGGGGGGGACGAGGATGGGGGAGTCGCGATCCACTGCGGCCAATCAGGTGAATTTAGGGCAGGAAATCATTTATTCTGCATGGGGAAGACATTTCTGCAGTGTCCAGCCTTCTACACGACAGGTTTTCGTCTAGTTTTATTTGGACAAGGCGGTTCAACAGGCCTAAGATTTATACTGAAATCCACACTATCAAACACAAGGTCTGACTTTAACTCGGTTTACAAGCATGGTGGTCCCTGGGGCCTAAAATCCACACTGTCAAGCACAAGGATATGACTTCAACTCAGTTTATAGGCATGATCATCCATCAGACACGGAATTCACACCACCCAGCTCAACACTTTCATTTATTATGTCAACTGTAAAACTAAGTGCAAAACCAGCGTTGCACTCAGCTCATATTCAACTATTGAAGTTCATGCTTTAAAGGGGTTTGTCTCACAACAAAGGACACTGCACATAAAAAAAGATAAAGCTGATGTCTAGGAGCAAAACCACCACAGCAAAATATCACGGCTCCACTCACAAAGGAAATAACGAAACCCGTTTTCTATTTCCAGACGTTATAGTGACTCACGTCTGAACCGGGTGGTGTCCTGGGTCAGAATCAACCATTATACTGAATCGATTGGAATGTGAGGGAAAAAAAAATCAGAGAACTGATTCCATTCTGTTGGTCTTAGGAGCATAAGGGAGAGGTTGACTGTCATGGGGAAGGACCACCTGCAGCCTGAACATTAACTACGGTTGGGAATATCTGCCGGGGTGTGAAGCTCCCCGTCTGGGTGATGTGTTTCTCAGACGTGTACAGAGCTAAAAAAAGCTACTGCCCCTATCTTACATGAAATATGACTCTTTGGCACCCTGCCCGCACTCATAATGGAATATGTACGTTTATGGAGAGTAAGAAGGGGGGCTTCAGGCTGCATATCATAAAGCGTAGCCATGTGTACGCCAGGCGCTCCTGTGAGCCAGTCTGGTGACCCGCGGTAATGGCCAAAGTCAGGGCTAAGCTACGGTTTTCAGGAGTGACATGAAGCTTTATTTGCGATTCGCACAAGTAGAGGTATACTGGAATGCTCTTTTTCTCATATCCCATCACCCTCTTCTTTGTGAGTGAAGCTTGGGGTCTGAGCGTAGGGTCAGACCATTTATCCAGCGCCACTGGAGCACTGTGGCGTGTTAAGGGCCTCGCTCAATGTTCAGGCTGCAGGTGGGCTTCAGTCAGTCAGCCTCTCCTTTATGGTCCTAAGACCGGCAGAATGAAATCAGTTCCTCTGTTTTGTTTCTCACATTGCAATCGATTCAGAGTAATTAATATCTGATTGTGTTCAAGGACACCACCCAGAACAAATGTGAGTTACTGTAACATCTGAAAATAGATAAAAAAAACAGAACCCTGCTCAAGGGCCCAACAGAGATGTGACAATTCTTGTAAGGCTGGGACAGCGATGTTCTGATTACAATACTAACCCTACCCACAATGCACCACTCCTGCCTCACTGTCTTTCTCACAGGAAGCCCACATCCTGTATGCCAACAGCATGACAGTTATCAGCTGCATTTGATAGGGCTCTGAAAAAAAGAACCATTGTAAAGGTCAGGGATGTGACCAGAGATCCCCCCCCCTCCAAGGCTTCCACACGTGACCTCTAACGGCGCCGGGTTTGCCTTGGCACCGCACTCTGCTAACGGACCAGGCTGGACGCCAGCATAGCTGGTTGGCACCAGCGGGGTGAGAGGTTCCCGCTAAGCCTGCTTCCCAGAGAAGCATCGTCTGGTAAATAACGCCTCAGAGATGCCCACAGCGGCCCCTGTTCAACCAATCAGGGAAGTAGGAGGTACAGTGGTGAAGGACACAAAGTGGGTCACAGTCAGTTGCTCTGGATCAAAAGCCTTAGATAAGGTGAGGCTTCCAAAGTGCTGCCCATCTAAAGGAACTGATGATCATTTGCAAATGGAGGTTGTAGAGATATTGAGCTGCAGTTTGACAGAATCCCACCAATGGAACCCAAGCAGCATGAGACACAGGTACTTATACAATTGCACCGTTTAGCTGTCAATCAAGTGCATCATCCAATCCGTAAGCCAAGGTATTACAGGCAAGGACGTCGACACATGCATGAAACTCAGTTAATTTTTTCCTGACTTCCCAAAATCACCTAAAAACTTACTCAGAACCAAGTTATTTATTTAGCTTGATAAAGCTGATGTAATTCTTTTGTAACATAGAATCATGCTGAAAAGGAGGCCTAATGGGCAGCTGGTGGGGTCAGATCTGGAGCTACGGAATCTCATTTCGCACACCTTACAGATCAGCAGAGCGGCGTCGAAGTGGCAGATTCGCGGCGGTCAATGTCATCGGCGTGAGCTAATTTCACGTTCTGCTGTGTACGTCAGGGGGTGGAGACATGGAGGAACCTTCCCTACATAATGGCTGCAATGACACCAGCTCCCCTTCGCTGTCAACGAGCCAATCTCTATGGCTCCCTGTGAGCCGGGAGCTTTTTATTATTCTGGTGGGGTGGCCTGGCCTGCTTTCCCCTGCTTGGAAGAGCACGGAGCCCAACGGAGACCTTTGTGTGCTCCCCGAACCGCAGGGGTTGCTCTTCAAGGAGAAAGAGGGGATTGGAAAGAGGCACGTGTGAGTGTGGAAGGGAGGGTGAAGGGGCATGGGTGGGGGTTGGGGGGGGGCACTGGGAACGGTGCCAATCCAATTACAGGCCGCTGGGTAAGCTGGGTAACATTGACTGAGCTGTGTTTGCTCCCATTCTCTCTCCCATTATCTCCTCTCCAGCTCTCTTCAGGGTCAGTCATTGACTCAGTCATGCATCCATCCCTCTGCCATCCAAAGCAGTTCACAGCCCCCCTCCCCTCGCCTCGCAATGCCACCTCTCTCTCACACTCACAAAACATGTGTTTTTACCACAGAAATGGCCACCAGAGCCAGTAAACTTGTGCCTTTTCAACAACAAGCATGCCTAAGCCACCTGTCACGTCCTGCACGCCTCCCTAAGTGGCCCTGAGGAGCCGCCCCAGCTGCTCGTTACCCCTCGTTAGTCTCTGTATTTAAGTACCTGTTTGTCTCGTCAGTCCCAGTCCTGCCATTGACGTCGAACTTTCTTGTTGCCTGTGCCCTTTCTTGTTCCACTCCTCCCGTTTTGTGATCCCTCGCAATCTTCTTTTATTTCTCTGTCCCTTGAGTTCATTGAACCCCCTTTTGTTCTGCTACAACGCCTGCCCTCAAGTCCTTCATCCTTCAAGTCATGACAGAATGATCGCACTCCCAAGGAAACCCAGCGGCTGTTACCCCAGTCCCTGGTTTCAGACCTTCCTGCATCCCGCAGACTGGATTCCTCATGTTCCCGGGCTCCGACAGAGGAGGCTTGGCGTTTTATGGGGGAGATGCAGCAGCTTATTGAATGTGAAGCCTCTCGGCCTGCTGTGGTCCCACCGCACTCTGCTACTCCACCCGCTGGCCCACCACAGATTCGCCCGCTGACTCCCTGCAGCTCGCTGCAGCTCTGCCCACTGGCTCCCTGCAGCTCACTGCAGCTCTGCCCACTGGCTCCCTGCAGCTCACTGCAGCT